GAAAGAGTATAATTCAAAATTAGCTAAACTTAGTTAAATCCATTTGCAATAGGTATAGTTGAATAAAAATTGATAATGATAATTTTTTTCATTATTGTGGGTATGTGTTGTCTATGTAACAAAATAAATAAATAAAAATTATTAAAAAAAACAATAAATGTTACATTACTTTTGCAAACCTTTTTCAGCCAAAACATGAAAAAGTTAAGTTCAAGGTTTAAAATTATGTGCGGGGAGGTGGGGAAGCACTGAAGACATTGTTTCTCTGGAAGCATTATTTTAAATCCAAATATAGAATTTGTCTACCATATGTAGAAGCAGTCAGCATACAATTCACAAAAAGCTTTCAAAATTCACAAAATATCTACTCTAGAAAAAAGGCATACAAAGCAGAAGGAATATATATTACACTGTCTTAACTTTCTATGGATGTTCTGTCTGCCACATGGCAAGCAAATCAGTTTCTGTTATAGTAGTGGAACTTACTTTGAAGCATAATATGTATTCTTCACTGATAAATAAGGAAAATTACAGAACTTGAGAGCAACACTTATTAAACCAAAACATTTATCTAGTGATTTACCCAAAGGATATTCTAATAAAGCTCTCTGCAAAATACAAAAAATACAAAAAATAAACTAATGTAGGTACTGGTTTCAAAGTTCTAAGTTATGTCAATATACAAGATATAAGTTATTCTTAGGATCTACCATTTGTAAAGTGCCATCCATTACATCAAATCCAAAATTTAGAGAGGAATTTAGCAGCATGTACAAAACAGAATAAGAAACTAGGTTTTATATTCAACAATACCATTAAGAAGAGGCTGTCCTTCGTTTACTCCCTTGGATATGACTGCATTGTAAATGTCTTCAGGAAATCCAGTCTTGCATAATGTGCCTTCTTCACAAGTTGCCTTTATAGGTGCCTGAAATGCGAGACAAAATTTATGTAATACTTTGCAAATCCATTCAACTGAGAAACATTCAACTTGGCATGAAATGGAATTTTGCTACTATCTTGTACAAACAGCTTCTTTGTTTCCAAATGGCTGTAATTAGAATTCCAGGGGCAAAGGGTTAATCTTTCTGATAACTGGAATGGAAGGAACAAATCCCACTTGTCCAGCAAGATCTAAATAATATGCAAACTTGGTTTGTTAATCCACTGAATGCTTGAACTGAATGCTTAAACAGTCATTTAGTTTGAAATAGAGTTATGGGAGAGGACAATCATATTTATTAAGTAGAACTAAATCTTATACAAAATGGAGTTTGTCCAATACTGATTATGATACATTTGTGAGCTTTAACAACAATTAAAAGGATGATCACTAAGAACATCAATACATTTTTGACCCTATTTTTTCAACTTAGCCTTTATCTACAAAACCAAAGAAATATAATTTGTTCGTCTATCTAAAGTCAAGTATGTCATTAAGAAAGCATGTTGTGTCTCATGTCTCATAAAACATTTTTCGAAATAAAGGTAGACTAAATAAAAGATCTGTGTTACCAGAATTGAAAAAAACTGTGTTACATTTCCCTTAGTTAATTAGGCTGAATTGAAATATTATTTTTTTATATTAGGGAGAATGTATTTATTCATGAATCAAGAAGTTTACCTCACAAGTTTGGTTTTAATTAATAAGCCATACATGAGAGATTGATGTTTCTTTCATTAAGGTAAGCCTTTTTAATAATAAGACTTCTATTTACATGTGTAATAGTGGAAAATTAAGATCTGATTCCATCTTAGGTGCCTGTATATCTCATGGCAAACAGCAGTACCAAACAAAATATAAGTGGCAAATGATTCCTATATTATAAAATTAAATACGGCAAAGGTGAAGGTTGCCCTCACACATATGTGCTAGTCGTTCCTGTCTCTAGAGGGCAGTGCTCATTTCTATTTCAAAGCCGAAGAGCCAGTGCTGTCCAAAGATGTCTCCGTGGTCATGTGGCCAGCATGAATAAAGGCCGAAGGTGTATGGAACGCTGTTACCTTCCCACCAAAGGTGATTCCTATTTTTCTACTTGCATTTTTACATGCTTTCGAACTGCTAGGCCAGTGTTTCCCAAACTTTTGACATATGTGTACCCCTTCTATAATTTTCGTAACGCTGAGTACCCCTCCTAAAAAACATGCTTTAATAAAAATCAAAATATATTTATTTTTTACTTTTTGAGTACATACGCAAAATAAACGAAAGTTATATTATAAAGAACATTTATTTGATTCAATGAGAAGGATGAAA